ACTATACCAATTAGTAAGATACCTAAAAAAAAGTTATCAATATGATTAAGTACATAATAGGTCTTATTACACAGTTTAAAGTAGAAATCATTAACTAGTACCAATAGAACACATATGGTCGTCTTAGGTACTTTTATTTTACCCTTATTTCAAAATAATAAATTCTTATAGTTACCTTATCTTACATATATTAATAATTTACATAAAAATAAGTATTTCATTAAATGAATTTGCCCTTTAAATAATTCAATACCTAATATTGACTAAATAATAGTACTATCTTCATATTTATTTTTTAAAGTCAAGATGTTGAATAAATATTAAATGTAAAATATTTTAACGAAAACATAGGTCTATTAAAATGCATTTTATTGTTTTATTTATTATGTTTAGATCAAATTGTGTCGAAGACAAAATACTTGAACTTTTTTCCACGGTTTCTTGTGGGTTAAATTAAAAAAATCCTTCATATTTATATTTTTGTTATTTAAGTTGGGAATGAGTATTGGTAAGTTCTTCAGGCTATTACATTCATTACCTATTCTCTGAATCAGATAATAACTCGTTTAAATCTATATATTTATTTCATCCAATATTTTAACTCTAACTAATTTGCCATTTATCATAAATAATAGATTACTTACTAGTTAAAATAATATATTAAATCTATATGGATACAAATTAAATAGGTACTGAATTTATCTTAGATGATAATTTGAGGATGGCTTTGCCGATTTGGATGATTCTTTGTTTATTGTGTTCATTATTGTCATGAAAAGGTTTGCATGTAAAAAAACAAAAAAAACTACTCCTCATACAAAATCTTTTTGGTCTAATTTACGCAAGTCTTTGTAGATCATCTCTGAGTATCTGCTCTAAATGTTGCTAAATAATGATTTAATCGCAGATTACCTTTTAACACCAAATTCTAATTTCTACTCAAAATACCTGTAAATCAATCTTTTAGAGTAATTATTATAGAACATTAACCATTCAAATCTAACAACATAGATATCTGAGACAAACTGGGTCATTTTCACTGATACTTTTTGAACTTAAATAAAAGAGGACATTCGCTTTGTATGGTTTTTATAGACCTCAAACTCGAACGACAACAATGATATCTTCAGACTACCTTCTTTATTGTACTCAATAATCAAATATAATACCCCATATAAAAATATCAGTGAGCCACTATTGTGTCATTACTGCCAGAAACATTTACAGAATGTAAACTATAATATATACGTTCATTTCTTTTAAATCTTATTACCATATTAAGATATTGATAAACCTTTGCGATGTAAAGTCCTATAACCTTATGACCATATGACATTTAAACGATCGCAAGAAAGTTGCTCAATGTATGGTTGAAAACACTTTTATTGCGTTTAAACAAACATATGATATTTCATTGAGGTTTGTGTGATATCCGTTCACAACAACTTAACTTTAATATTAAAAAGTGGGCAAGTGAATATCACTCCGCTGTATAGGTAGTAGAGATGGAGAGTAGGTCACTATAATAGATGTGTTAAATTTTAATGCAATGACAGGTAACATTGTATAAGAAAAACGATTCTGAACGGAGATGATTTGTCAGTTTAGAATATATTATATTTTCGATATTTAAATT